CCTGTTTGTTGTCACATTTAGAGGTTTTGTTGAAGTAGTTGATGCAGGGCACTATCCATGCGAAATGAAAAGGGAAGTATATGGGTTCTTATTAAGATGAATTGTTTTTTGTTGTTTGAGGAATTTTAATATTGGTGAGGTTTTTTGTTCAGTCCCTAGGGAGGGGTTGAATATAAGGTTCATAAGGTACTATAGTCTATCTGCTTCTGTATTTGGGCTTGATCAGAACTCAATAGCAGTTTTCCAGGATTCAACCTTGGTGTTCTTTAGAAGTGGTTGGAATTTGTTCCAACTTTATTTATAGTTAGGTGACTCTTTTCCAGGTTTGCTAACCTGGCATTAAAGTAGCTGAGTTGTTTTGTTATCTGTGAAAGTAAGTCAAGTGGTGGTCCAGTTGGATTAAATATTGTGCTGGATTTGTTGCCTCTTTGTTCTTTGGTACATTTTTCCTTCTTGAAGTTATACTGTGCCTTGTCAGAGAGAGTTTATTTGTTTGTTTATGTGAGATCTTGTTTGATTACCTGGCTTGTTTTTTTGTGAAGAGTTTTATACATATTTATTTTTTCAAACTTCTGGCTACTTTGTGGGTCTTTATATACTGTTTTACTGTCTTTTATGCTTCACCAGATCTGATTCCCAAATAAAAAGATGTAATTTGTTATTGCTTGTTGGAGACTTTTTCCATTCTTGAAACCTATGATTACAAATCTTCTTCTTTTTCCTGATCGGCTGTTTAGAGGAATATGTACTGTCTTTGCTTCAGTGTGTTTGATTGCACTCATTATTCTTGTAAATGTTATACAGTATATCTTTCAATTCCATAAAGTCTTGCAATGTATTTGTTTCTTTGTGTTAGGGTTTCTTTGTAGTCCTGGAGTGGCATAATTTTCACCATGGTCTCATCCATCAGGACTGCCCAGACTTCTTATAGATTTATTCTAATATTTTTAAGCACTATTATTGCTGTTTTGAAGCATTCTTGTTCTTCTATCTATATGTCTATTTGTGTAACTGTGCCATAGTTTTTTATTGCCCCTTGAATTCTATGCTTAAAAAAGTTGTAAGGAATGTCCAGAATTATAATTTCTGTTTCTGCACCTTGTGTCTTGGGGTTAATTGTATTTGGCATGTCTGTGGCCTTTTCTTTGCCTTTCTCTTTATATCTAAATGGGGAGCTGCTTTTAGGAAGGTTGTCTGTTGTTGGCTATATGGCTTTTGTGTAATTCTTGGATCATTGCAATTCAAGCTTATCCAGTTTAAGTACTTTAATGTCTTTTGTTAGAAGTTTTTTGTCTGCCTGGCTTAGTTTCTTAATGTATCTTTTCCTGTCCATCTCTATATTAAAATATCCAATGAACCATCCATTTCCCTGAATGTGTTCTACATTAATAAATGAGCTTTTGATTGGAATTGCAAAGATCTTTGTGATTAGATCTAATTGCTTTTTTCTATTGTTTCCAGGAAAGGTTTCTATCAGTATGTCGATACCATAGGGTGATGAGTTGTCCTTGAGGTTGTATATATTGAATTGGCTAGGTGATATATTTGGTGTCTTGACGGGCTTATCTTTTTTTGAAGATTGTGGGATGTTGTTGTTTGGACATGCAGTTGGGTGGTATCTTTTTTTTTGTTGATTCTTTTTTTCCCTTTTTTAGTTCTTCTTTTAGGTATAAGATCTTGAGATTTCCATTCTCCTTGTTGTTTGTTTTTTCAACACAGCCTATAAGGTCAAGCTATAGTTTGAAGTATACTGTGTACTAGTAATTTTCGTTGGTAAATTTCATATTGATGAGGTTGCTTTCAATCTTAGATAACTTGAAGATATTTATTAGGTACTTGACTTGTTCCTCTTTATTTTCTTCTGATGTATTTGTTACCAAAATGCCTGCTGTGTATGCTACTTTTTTTGTGATGAAATATGGATTAATTGGTTGTGTAGTTCTGTTTCTTATTTGGTAGTTCACACTTTTCTGAATATCAAGTAGTGTGTCTAGAAGCATCTTCTGGTCTTGCAAGCTTGTAATGTTTGAAATGATTGCTTCTTACATCTCTTCTGTGTTTGACATAATTATTTTTGGTGTAGCTAGCTCTTCCTGTTCAAAGTTTAAAATTTCCATCTTGATTAGATGAGAGGATGTCTATGCCACGTGACCTGTGTCCTGAATTGCTGGGGCCTGATAGTCTTATTGGTTTGAGGATTGTTCTTGGTGTGTTGGATAACTGTTGTCTGTGGATGTTGTGGATTCTGTGTGGTTATCTTGAGGATTGTATTTACTTGGCTTGAGAATTGTGGAAATGATAAGTCTGACTGATGGATCTTTAATGATGTGTTCATCAAGTATAGACATGCACATTTCATTTTTCCTCCAGAGATCTTTTGCATATCTGTAAATGATGTCTGCTGACAATTTGTCTGGGATCAATATTCATTATTTTTGCTGTGATAGTATCCAACAGAGTAGTGTTGAATGAAATCCCTAGGTCAATTTCTTCAGTCTCGATTTTGTGAAGACAATTGTGGATTATCTTGTGAAACCATAACTTATTATCAGCATGATAATCATCCTTAAGTATAAATAGATGATCTATGATCTTGTCTTGTTTCTATATTGTTTCTGCATTTAGTTGGATGGAGTCTTCATATGTATTTGTATTATAAGACATCTTGTTTTTAGGATGTTTAATGCATAGGGTATTTATATATTTGCTTACAAACTATATATCTATTTGTAAAGGTGTGTCCTATTATTGCTGTATTGTCAGATATTTATACATGTTTCTGTTGTATGCTTGTCATATAGCTTGCAGATATCACATCAGCACGTAGATGTGTTGTGCTGCTGTATGCTATAGTGTTAATATTTTGGTATGTGTTTGTAAATGTTTCGGCGTGCTGCTATGTAAGTGCTTGTTGTATTGACAAGTTCGCTACGTGTTTTTGTTGTTTATACTGTTTGACATGTGTCTGTGTATTTGTAGTGTTGTAGTAGTATTGTATTGACATGTTAATATGTATTTGTTTCTTGCTATTGTTTTGTTGTCACAGCTTTGGGATATGTGTGGATGCGTTTAGATGTGTCTGATTAATATTGATGTACTGCTGCTATGCGTTCATGTAACTGTTAATCTTTTGGAGGGGCTAAACTGTTTCTGGTTTTTCTTATCCTAAGTGTTTGGGTTTGGGTTGCGTAACAGTTGTTGTTTATATTGTTGTTTTGGGGTTGAATAATGTTTTCTTTTCTTAGTCACAATAAGAGAAAGTCTTAATATCCTTCTGGCCCTTGCTTTAATGATGAGGTTACCTGGTTTACTGGGTATAATCTGGCTAAGCAGGGTCCTTCTAATGTCTAGGTAAGGATCCTAATGATTTTATTCGATTCTGTATTTGATTCTCAAGTTTATATTAAATTTAATAGGTGGGATATACCTCACCATCATTTTTAATAGTGTTCTGAACCTCATATGATTCTGTTCGATTCTATTCGATTCCAATTTTCGGAACCATATGTCTAGGGAGGTATCTAATCTGGTGTACAACTGGCCAGTAGCTTGTGAAGTGCAATGCTGACTTTCTCTCTTGATTTAACTATGAATTGTATTGTTTGTCTTTTCTTCTTTCCTGGTAAGAAGTCCCAAGTGTGTTTCTGTTTGTGTGTTAAAAAAGAAAAGAAAAGAGGTTAGTTTGTAAAGTTTTGGTGTATACCTGTTCTGATGTCTTCTTCCTGCTTGGGAGGTGGTTGTAAAGTGTTTCTTTCTAAAAAACAGTTTTTTCTAATGTTTCCTTTGGATATTTTCTTTGGTTTTTTCTAAGTTGTCAAAAAAAAAATTTTTTTAAACCTGCAATATATAATTTTTAATTTAATATATTTTCTATACAATATTTTTATATTTAATATCAAATATAACTTACTTTTTTATAAGACCAAATTCATTTAAACTTTGTAAAAAAGCTGTTTTGAGATTTTCACCCAAATGTAGACCCTTAAGTTTAATAAAATCTAAAAGTAAATTTTTCAATTCCTAATTGCTTGAAATCCAATGTACTGTAATTTCTAAAAATGGAAAAGCATTTGCTGATATCCAAGCATCTAAAGTAAATGAAATTCTATCAGGTGTTTTCTATAAAAATTATATGAATAAATATAGAATTATTTAGGTAAAATTTATATATTACATACAATTACCTACAAAAATTGTTGCACTTTTTTTTTATTTTTGTTGTAAACTAATATAATAGTATTTTTAATAGTATCAGCAGAAGGTATTATAATTTTATTTCATAAAATGTTTAATATATTATGAAAATCTTGAGACTCAATACTTGTAAAAGATAAATCGTTAACAACAATCCATCTTACAAGTAAATGCAAGAGAGTTGCTATATTATATGTCAAAATAATTTTAATTGGCAATTTTTATCTATTAAAAATATAAAATAAAATTAACTTACCAAAATCGAAATATTTTCTATTACTTCATGTAATGTAGGTTGGTTATTTTTCAGATTAGGTTGAAATATGTGCTATTTCAAGCAAGGGATTAGGAGTAACGCCCTTTCATCTCATCAGAATAGTTCTTGATAAGTGGTGAAATATCTTTTGTAGTAGATGACTCCTGTTTATTAGTAATAGCCTGTGTTTGTTTCTGTTTCAATTTCGTAATTCTATCTTTAAGCTCAATATTTTCTTCTGCAACCTGTTCCAATTTGGCAATCCCGGCTTTGAGCCCAACATTTTCAGCTTCGCATTTGGTACTCTTTCCATAACTTATTTTAAAAGCTCGACATTTTTGGCTTCGAGCTTAGTCTTTTTAACTTCAAACTCAGAAATTCAATGTTTTATGAATCAATCTCTGATTGTATACTTTAGTAATAGTAATAAATTTTATTTATTTATTATTTATTTGAAACGCATAACTAAATTAGTAAAATTTCAGTGACGGCCTGTCGTCAAAAACTCCAACAAAAATTTTTGAATGATACATTGTAAAATCAGTTAATATCAATTTTTTGTTTTTTTTTTCCTAAATAAGGTATTTTCTAAATCGTTTAAATCAATTTTTTCATGAACTGGTGAATCCAGATGACGCATTAAATCATGACCTGACGATTTGGAACCGGGAGATGGAGAACTGGGAGTTGAGGAATCGGGAGATGAGGATTTAAACAAAGATTGATTTTTATTATTCGTTTTCTTTGCTGGTGTATCCTGAACTGAAGTTATATGAATATTGTTATCTCCAGTTGATTCTTTATTAATTGCTTTAATCGTTGACAACACATCAACCTATAATAACAAAGTCAGTTCATTCAGTATTTATAAGAATGTTCATAAATATTTGTTTTCAATCCATACCTGCCAACTCATCAAGTCCGCTATATCTTTTGCGAACTGTTCAAAATCGTCAAAGGATACAGGTATTTTAATACGCGTGAATTGTTGAAGAATATATATTGATGGTAAGGAACGAACTAGATACTTGATGATGATGTAACCGTCTATATGAAAATATAATATGCATATTAACAATCAGACTTTATTACCTGCCTCCTAACCACAATACTTACTGACAGCTTGTACCAGATATACGCGCGCTTTGTCCTTAGGTACACATTGTAGTAACCTATTTAAAATTCGCATTGAATTTCGACATAATTTAACCTGATCACCATCTTCTTTTGTTAAAGGTGCTCTTCTACCAAATGAAAACTCGACAATTATTATGGCTTGATTTTTTTGTCTCGCCTTAATCACTTTGAAAAGTCCATCAATCTTGTGCTTTTTTGTTTCAGGAGTGGTCAGCTCAATCCTAAACAAAATAGACAGAGAATTAACAGACAAGATAGCTCAACACCTTGAAATTTATAATTGACACTTACCATCCGATGTCCACTACATCTTGATGTATTCTAAATAATCGATTTAGAATGTATACAGTGGTGTCTATCGCATATGTTCTTTCAAGGTCAAGGCTATTGGATTCAACCCTTATTGGTGCTTCCAGGCGGATGGAACTATTTATAAAAGAATTAGTTAAGTCATCTGTTGGTAAATTGTCAAGTATTCCAAATAAACACTTACAAATGCGTTAAAATTTGTTGTGCAATATCATGAGCTTCATGACGATAAGAATTAAATGATCCCTTCGGAACAAATGACTCCCGGACCAGAATTGGAATGTTTATTCTATCACATAAATCCTCAGTGAATTGACTTATATACTGTTGAAATTCACCTGTTTTTTTCCAGGATTTTCTTTGAAGAACCATATTGAGCCATTCGATTTGACTTTCATTTAATGTACTATTAACTTTTTTAAACACTTCATTATTTGATAAATCGATAATATGATTGAGAGATATAGATGATACACAATCTTTTCCAGATTTCTTATCTTTTTTTTGTTGTGTGGTCAAAATCGCAAGTAATTTATTACGAATGTTAACCTCATCCTAAGAAATTAAATAAGAGCGAAAATAGCTATTATATAAAATTAAATATAAAAAGCAATAAAAAACTACCGAATGCTAAAATACCTGTGAAAGCCTCCTGATTTCTTCACCTTGTTTGATGTCAATTGACTCCACTTCGCTTTCACCTTCCAAGTCATCAATGATTTCTACAGATTCAGTTGATATTGAATGCGGTAGTGGTGTAATGTGTATATCCCCAGTGTCTTGGCGACTTTTTTTGAAAGATGTTTCTTCAGAATCATCCTAAAAATATCAAAATATAAAATAATTAGTTCAGCTGGTCTTAATTTCTAGCTAAAAAAAATGTTAATTGGTACCTCTTCCTGATCTCTTTTTTTCGATGCGGACGATCCATAATTAAACATTCCACCATTGACTGTTCCAATTCCTAGGGAGCTACCCGTAAATGATGGATGGTGTAAGTGTACTGAGGTGGTAGCGGTCTTTTTACTTTTCCGCAATTTCCAATCTTTTGATAGCTGGCGATCAGGCCGAGTACCCTAATAAATTTGGAAAATTAGTAGTATCCTTAACTAGTGCCTTTAAAATTTCTATTTAACTTTCATCCCATCAGATCGTCATAGAGGCTTGAACGTCAGACAATCTTAGAGGTTGCCTGCGCTCCGATGGGGCTAGTGCTAGGTCGTCATAGAGGCTTGAACATCAGACAATCTTAGAGGTCATCTGTGCCCCAGCACTAGCTTCGTGGCTCGACATAGAGACTTGAATGACAGAGATCTTAGAGGTCCCTGCCACGCCACCATTCTTTATCTATATTTTTAGCTAAAAACTTTTTGAACTTCCCTGTTTATACTTTTTGAACAATTCCAATGCTTTTTCGTATCTTTTGCCACTCTCATTTCTAATATGGCCTGGAGAGAAGTGAGGTAATATCCGAGCTTATCAGGGAATGATGGTGCGTCATCGCATTCGTCAAGAAAACCTATAATATTCCATTCGGAGGACTTGCGATCGAAATATTCGTGCACCCATTTTTCCGTCATGAGCTGAAAGATAAAAAGTATCTGTGGTTGAATCGTATGATTTTACAGGCGTACAAAACAAGACGGAGCCTATAAAATAATACGTTACAAAAAAGCGAAGTAAGAATAGTAAGGGCGGTAAAAATATTTCGCCAGATAATCAGAGATAACGGTTATATGGAAATTATTCCACGAGTTAGTCAATCAGATTTAGTAATAAGTAATATAACATGTGTGTTTCGCAATCAATAGTAACAATCAGCATTTTGTGCGATGTGATAATCTATGCTCTAGATAGAATTTATTGGGCAAACTAATTTCGGTGATTTAACGGTAAAAAAAAATCTGGACACCTTAATGTAAACAAAATTATAAAGATCGTAATTACGCTTATACACGTGTCTTTCCATATGGGCTACCAGTATTAACTAAACCATTTTAGATGATGCACATGTCGCTCATTATGTAAAAATTCTCGAGCTACTACTAGATCGTATTTCTGATCGCGAGGCCGCCCCAAACTAAAATTGAACTTATTGATACTAAATAATTATTGTCGATTTAATAATTTTAACTAGGGTATCTATTTTTCAAGGGACTTCGTCCCTCCAGTGATTACCATGAAAAACCAATGGGGATTAGGGTATGACTGTTTTATTTTTTTTTTTGTGTTTAACCAGCTAGGCCTTGCCTAGCGTACTTTATTATTTTATTTACATATGTATTTCATGTATTATAGGAACTACTATCTATAAACAATTCTACGTATCATTAGACTATATCAATTTTACTTCATATCGATTTGTTGTTGTCAGTGTCACTCTAGAGGGGTTGTGCTAAGGCTAATATGCCAAAGTTCCATTAGTGTTATTATTATATCATTATGTTCTATTTGGCATTATGAAATTTTAAGGGGAAGTTTGAATATGGGGAACTGGAGATAGTATCTATTTTTGACAAATAGAACTATTGCAAAAAGAATCCTTCTAAATCTGACCACCTGCAGATAGGTGCATCATTTAATTTTCACCTTTCTAGAGTTACCCAAGAATGTTCAAGGAATTTATCTCACAGACTTACAGCTCATAGATTATTTCAGCTATTGGTACTTACTGCTGTTTTGGTTGCTTTCTTGGGATAGGTAACTGTCGGAGCAATCTATTATTGGATTAGAATAAGGCTTTTTTGAAAACTTGCAAAAAGAGCCACCAGGTATCACAGGAAAATGATCATCAAGCCATTTTTACCAAAAGCGGACACCTCATATACTATACATGTTGCTGAAATTCATAGATCCTTGACGCAATTGATGCAATTATTTGACGCAATTAATTGAGTCACTATTAAAACATATAAATAATTGAGTTATGATACAATTATTTTTGAGGATTTTGGGAATTGAGTCAACTGCAAATAATTTATACCACATGTATATTATACACCTTACAACTTCCAACAATTATTGTAACACCAACCAGACAATTGTCGCACTATGATACTTTTTCTGGAAATCACAATCTTAACGTCCATTGGATCAGCATGTAAAATGACTTCTTATAAAAAACAACACTTATACAGGTTATAACACCAGATATTATATTAATTCTATTCAACTGCTCTCACATGGGGTTGAACTGGTACCTTGTGATTTGACTTGTAAAGTGTTAATCACTATACTATAAACCCACAGGTCTAATATAACTATATAATAGTTTAAGTAAAGGAACATATTGGTCATTAATAGTTTATTATTATTAAAGGAAAACTTTATTAATGAAAAGTGGAGCAGACAATTCTAAAGATAATTAAAGAAAAAATACAGCATTTAAATACATGTTTTTCCAATATAAATAAATAGAATAAAACATATAAAGAATAATATACATATAATTATAGTAGTTCTCCTGGAAGATTATATAAATTAATAAAGAAAAATAAAATAAAATAAGATAATAAATAATTCCTTGATATTAATTACTAATTGATAATACATGTTAATTAGTGAAATCATGTTGAATTAATAATCACTATAAGTTTCAGGTTTTGTATCACTCCAGAGCTTTAGGATCGGTGGATATTATGTGACTTCGGATATGTGTTTAAGTCTAATCATTAGTGTTCTTCTGCCGGAAGTCTAAATCCTTGATTATTAAGAAATCAGTGTTGACAATGTTTTTTTAGCTATTAATAAAAGATATTCCTCTCATCAAATACTTATAGCCTCTTAAAATCATTTGAGAGGTTGTTATCTGACTTTTTGAAAAAAATTGGAATTTTTACCAGACATCTATAGATCTGTTACAGGCTGTTTTATTTTATGATATGTTGATTATTTAATATTAATAAAATAGCAAGACAAAAGTACAAATCAATATTTTTTTGTATTATAATATAAAATAAAGTTATAAATAAATCTGATAACTGTAAGTAATGATAGGTACGACTCCATCAGTTCTATTCCGGTTCTATAGAATGCCACTTTAATAGTGAAGTCAAAACTAAGCAGTGTTTCACAGAACTGCTAAAAGTAGAGTTGGAACTGAGTAATGTTTCACAGAATCACTCAATAAAACAGTTCTAATAAATTAAATTATACTGTATATGTTTCATGTGAACATTATTATTCAATAATGTTATAAAATAAGATTAAATTAAATTATTTTATAATAATATTATAAATAACAACAAGATAACCTGTAGGTCTATAGTGTAATAGTTAACACTCCACAGGTCAGATTACAAGATACCGGTTCAATCCCAAGTGAAGGCGATTAAATAGAACACATATGATATCTGGCACCATAACCTATTATTAAGGATCCGAACGATTCTATTTAGAATCGAATTTAAACGATTCAATTCGATTCAATTCTTTTATTTAAAAAATTGAATAAAATTTTAATTCGATTCGATTCGATTCGATTCTATTCAATTTTATTCTATTCGATTCAATTCGATTCGATTTTATTCGATTCGATTCTATTCGATTCTATTCGATTCAATCAATTTAATATATTGTATATATTGTTACACTTGATTTTTGCCCAAGATCTTCACTACCCCCTTGCCCAATTTTCACTAGCATTGACTCTTGAAATGTTAGTTATTCTAGAATAGTCTTGTATTACAAATCTGTTACTGCACTTTCGGCATCTATTATATCTATTGCACTTTTACCATTTCTAGAATATTTCTATTTTATTTTGTCTTTACCTTTTA